TTTTAAATGTTTTGTGGGGGGGGGGGGGTCAGAGAAAGAAACGGATTACCTGGTGCTGAGAGCTCATGCTGACTCTCCTCAACAGCCTCCTTTTTTGTTCGCTGAGGATGCTGTCAATCTTCCTCATTGGTGGGAGGTACAGCTCATCTGCTCACCAATTGAGATAAGGGAAGTTTGATTAGTCATTTATGCTGCTGCCAATCATTTTAATGTCAAAGGCAGACTCAAGGTAGTCCTATCAGTATTCTAGGGACTTTCTTTCAACCGCACCTTGTTTGTTTGGATTCTAAAAACCATTAACAAAACATGCATGATACACAATTCTCTAACAATCCCCTTGTGTTAGTCAGGGTAGGCTGGATGGCTTGACCTAGCAGCTGCTACTTGTCAGTGGGGGTGACATTTATTCAATCTACCCAAACCACAATATCTGAAACTACTTTTGAAAATAGCACCAATATGCCTGAATACAGCTGTTTCAGTGCAGCCATTTAGCCTGCAGAAAGCATGCTACCAGATGGGTGTTAGCTATTTAAATGAAGTTTAAAGTGTAACTGTGTGGAAGATGTCGTTCTCACCATCAGTGTCCTCCAGAGCCTGGATCATATCAGGGTCTAGTGCTGTGCTGACCAGCATCTCCACATAGCTCCTGAACATCTCCCTCATGGCACGGTTGTTCACTCCGCCTTTCACTGGCACTAAGAGGACAGAAAACAGACTATAAATCTATCCAAAAACATCCAACTACCATTTTATGTGACACAAATAACAACCACTTTGTTATTATGGTCTCAAATGTGACAGGAAACTCCCATTACATCATGACTTCTGATAGCAAAATGCACATACAAAGAACCAAAATGGCATCTCACTTTCATTCTCACTAGGTGCCTCATCCGATGAATCAGAGTCTGATGATGAAGCCACTTCCTTCAGCCACTTCTTCCTCTTCTTCGGTGGTGGCTCTGCCTTCACCTTGGCCAGCTTGGACTTGGGTGGGCGCTCAGCCTTTTCCTTCCTCTCCACCACTTTCTTCTCCTCCTTTGCTCTACCTCGTTCTGCTGGCACAGCACGTTTCCCCACTTTGTCTTGCTGTGGATGCACTCGCTTCTCCTTCTCATGCTCCCTTTCTTTCTCCTTGGCTTTGGGTAGAGCAGTTGGAACCTCCTTCTTCTCCCGCTGTTCTTTTGTTGTTGCTGTGGCCGCTGTTCTTGTTTTCTCCCTCTGTTCACGCTGGACTGGTGGAGCCACTCTCTCCTCTTTCTCCACTGCTTTCAGTGGCACCTGGGTAGCAGGAGGGGATGCCATTCTGGGGAGGGACTGGCGTCTGTTTTACATGAAGAAATTATTTGGGACTATTCATTATTCAATTATCAATACTCTATTTCTGTCACTAGGGTCCAGTCAACCAAGGTCCCCTCATCTGCTCCACATTATTTTTGGGGCTTTTTAAGCTAAGCCCAACAGGGCACGAGTCTAAGCCATGACACTTGTGTTCCCTTATCAAGGCATGGTGGTTTTAATCCAACTAAACCTAGTGAGGCTTATGTAAATATGAATCAAATTTTTCAGGTGGAAAATACTGGTACCTGAGAGCAGGTGTGGCTCTGCGCCATGGTCTCCGAGAGCAGACCCTGACGTAGTCCTTCTTATTTACATTCTCCAAAAACTTGACATAGATTCGCTGGTATCGCCTCTTGGCATCACCAAAGTAGCCAAGATACTGGAAGAAAACAAACAAACACACAATGTACACAAAACCTTCAAATGACCCGACTTTGCCTGATGATAATGTGGCAATTTCATGAAATATATTCCACCTAGATTCATACTGTATGTGCGAGCATTTTTCGACACTATGGCATCTCTATATGTCATGATGTAGCAGGGATTATTGGAAGTGTACAAATCACCATGACCTTTGCAGGTGTGGTTAGATCAGAGGGTTTGGGGGGTGAACTCACATTGCTTGTGGCGCAGAACTGTCTCTGCCCATCTTTGATCTCTGGGCTGAACTTCTGCAGCAGGGCCTTCTGCACCCTCCAGATAGGTGGAGGTTCTCGGCCCATCTGCAGGGCCAGCTGTGCCCAAACACATGACAAGCTGGTAAGTACATAATGCTGCTGTAACCTATCAGCTACTAAAAGATTCAATACATTTTACTCATTAAGGGAGCATCAAGCGATTTTCCCTGATGGTTTGCCGCTTGCTTTGCTCACACTGACACCTACATATCAGCATGATATCTGTAATGATTTTGTATTAGTTAAGATAATGCATACAGTTTGTGGCTCTCCACCTTTTTTTAGTCTCTCAAAGTATATTTGAGCCTTTAAATGTCAATAAAACACACTAAACACAAATTTCCACACATGAATACCTTGAGAGTTCCAATGTCTTCCACTCGCACCACAAACTCATCCCTTTCTCTGAAGATGCCCTCCCCTCCACTCTCGCTCTCATCCTCCTCACTCTCTCCAACAATGGCAGCGTCTTCTTGCTTCTGGGCGAGATGCAGGGAAGTGATTTTAGGAGCTGGGAGTTCTTCGGGCGAGGCAGGGGAGTCTGGAGATGGCATTGGAGACTCCTTCTGAATTGAAGATGGAGGAGGAGGGGAAGTTGAAGGAGGAGTGGCAGGCTGAGGGAGAGCAGCAGGTGGTGGAGGTGGTGGAGTGGGGGATGTGGGAGCAACAGGGCTCGGAGGCTGAGAATTCTCCTGTTGTTGTTCTGGTGCAGGTAGGGGTGAGGGAAGTGAAAGGGGAGGGAGGGGGGAGTGAGAAGGAGAGGAGGATGAGGCAGGAGATGGAGGAACAGAGGGGGGTTCGGGAGTTGCTGGAACAGGAGGAATCTCAGGGAGGGGTGCTAGAAGAAAAGAAGGGCAAGATTAGGGTCAGCTTTACTTATCAATGTACCACAACATAAAAACACCCATAAGAATTTAATCAAATTGGGTGATATGACCATATGATCTTTTTTCAGTGTTATGGACAATTCAAAATTTTAATTAGTATTTATCTGTCTACATGAATGATGATAAATCATGACTCAAAGCTAGTTTTCTTTATCAGAACTACTGTATATGCTGTTCTCCAGTAATCACAGTCACATTGCAAGGCTGTTGTCCTTTAAACACAATACTGTAAAAACAGTACATAATATACTTGAAGCAGCTGTACAACAATGACAAAAAGCAGCCCTTGCAAGTGTCACCATGATTTGTTTATTAAAAATAAAAATGTTTAATTTAAAAAGCATCAATGGTGGGCAATGACTAGAGAAACATCTAGAACAGGTGTAAGAGCTAAGTTACCTCAAAATAAACTGCACCTGGTTTGTCGTGCTGCCAATAGAAGTCTGAACTTAAGTTTCAAAATAAAGTTATTACAAACTTCGTTACACAGCGCAATGGCCTGTTACGTGTCGGATTTTGTTGAACAGAACATTATCAATGAGGTACCACAACTGCCTTTCTTTGGTATTACTTTGCAGCCTTCAGCTGATTTCTTATTTCCATTACTCGAGGTTGTTGTCTAGCAAAGTTTACACATGTGGGGGTTTCCAAGGAAAAGGCGCCAGCTTTCGTTACTGTCACAACCATGGAGCTCAAACATGCGGACGTCTTCAAGAAAGCGGTGACAAATTACGCTACTGTCCTAACCACGGGGGTATAAAAGAGAATGGTCCGAATTCCCATGAATTTATTATTATAGCTGGATACGACACTGCCGCTCAGTCGTTAAGTACCATTAGCAGTACTGTAAAGAAAAATCCCCCACAGGGCCAAAAAGCATTTGCTCCATAGACCACACTGGGTGTTCTCCAAAACCCAGCCGGTACGGCGCTGGTGTTGTACCGGTATGTGTTCCACTGGTTAAAACTGTGTTTACTGTAGCACGCTCTCTCGGAAGTTAAGGTTAGAATTAGGATAATGTTTGGTTTCAGGTTAAGATATAAGGTAAGGGGGAGATATTTAGAGGGCGAAACATATCGATATAACACCGGCTTGTGTCAGAGGGGCGTGGTTTCCATTCTATTTAAATTTGGAACATGCCACGTTTGCCGACCTGAAGCTATTAAATAATTTGTGGAGTCCGATAGCACGGTGAACAGCAACCTCTTTTGGTCAGAAAATGTGGGCACCTTATTTTCCTAGCAGCACCCAACTTTTGATTGTAAATAAGCAACTCTGCAGATAGGACATTTTATATTTAAAAATAATGACAATTCTCTCCTTGATCCAGATTCTGTAAAATTATGATTGAATGAAATCAAAACCCATTAAAACAAAAACAAAAAAAAAACAAAACACACTTGATATTAAGATGGTGTCTTGGTATCTGGGCTCTCTGGAGAAACATTCAGACAGTCATGTAGGTTTTTCACTTTGTGAATACACTCTTTGTATTATGGTAAGAGTTTTACAATTGTGAAACTTTCCCAGTGCCTAGAAAACTGACTTATTTTCATGATCTCTTCCCACTGTAAAGCCTGCTGAAGGGCACAGTGAGGAAAACACTAATTCACATGCGCAGTAGGCCACACAACACAGAGGCAAGCATGGATAAAATTTTTTGGTATATGCCCCAGGCGAGCAACTTTCAGAGGAATGAACAGGTGCCATTTTGTAACTCAACATCCAGTTTTGCCCTAATACATCCATGGTAACTCAAGAAAACTGCTGGCATTGGTGTTTGAGAGACAGCAGAAGACACGCTAATCTTGATTTAACGATATAGGCAAATTCAAATGAATGTAATTAATTCAATACATTGCCCGGCCCTAAGCTAAGCTGCAGAAAAATCAAGGTTATAGAAATTGGGACAAGAGATGAATAAAAAGCTTATTCACACTTACCATCAAGCTTAAGGGCACCCAGGGTTTCCAGCTGTGGTTCTTTCTCCTCTGTCATATCACTGTCTTCATCCCTTCCTATGCTTCTTTCTTCCTCATTCTCTTCTTCCTTGTTCTCATCCATGTCCGTATCTTCAGGCTGGAGAACCTCAGGTTCATTGGATTGGGGCTGGGTGTGTGGGATATGCATGGTAGGCTGTGGGCTAAGTGTTGGGGGCTGCAGTGTGGGAGTAAGCGGGGCCTGAGCAGGCTGAGGTTGAGGCTGGGGAGTTGGAGGAGGTAGCTGAGGCTGAATGCTAGAGGTTAGCTGAGGAGTGTCATACAGAGCAGAAATGGCTGAGGAGATGCTCTTCTGGAGGTCCTGGTTCTTTCCAACAGAGTCCTCCTCATCTGAGGAGAATGAAGGCAAGGTTTCCAGGTTCCTCTTAAGTTCATCTTCCAAGCGCTTGGGGCTAGGGCAGTTGCCCAGGGCCAGTCCCCCATTCCCTTCACTGTCCCCGAATGGAGGGGGCGGAGGTGGAGGAGGAGGTGCAGGAGACAGCGGCCGCAGACCCCCTGATTTACAGGGTGAAGTCTCACCATTGTCATGTTCCATTCCTGGTGAGATGTCCAAGCTTGGAGGTCTCTTTCCTGACTTGAGAAAGTCCAGAAATGAAGCGACAAAGCCGGCTTTGGACTCTGAGTCCTTCTCATCCCCCTAGCAGAAACACAAAGGAGAGAGACTCATCTCAAAATACCACCACTACAGCAGTCAACGCCACAAGCAATGAACTTGAACTATATCTGATTAATTTTATCACTATCCAACTTTAATCATCCTCTGCTTCACATAGCAAGGATATCATCCTTTACCCGTTCCTCCAGCCCCTCATCGTCCACTCCTTCGCTCATCATCTGGCTTTTCTGCTTGTTCTTATCCTGACTTCTGGTGCTTTCCGTGCTGCAGGGGGCTCCAGGGCTTAAACCAAGTGAGGGAGCTGAGCCAACTGAGCCGTCCGACAAAGCCGGGTCTGTGCCAGACAAAGAATCTGTCCTCAGCAAAGCATCGGAGGAGGACAGAGTACCGATTGGTAATTTGATCTAAAACAAAAGAAAGAGAACAGTAAGATTTAAAGTGAATGTGCCTGAACATACTGACCATATTACAAAAACTAGGAACCCAGGATGAGCAATTCATCTAATATTTTTTGTCATTTACTGACCATTTAAACAGAATGACTGGGGCTAGCCTTAAACCTGACTATTCTAAAATAAATTTTTAGAAGTGAGAAAGTATAGTGAAACGGGGCTCAAAAGTAAACTGCTTCTTTTATCTGTGCTTTTAACTTGTTTGTTTTTGCATTTACTGGCATCACACCTGTGGTTAAATGACTGTTATAAATTCCCAGACCACCAACCTTCAGAGGTGGAATAGGCTCATGTTGCTGCTGTTGGGGCTGGTGGTGGAGCTGCTGTGGCTGCTGATGGAGGTGATGGTGGTGCATCTGATCCTGCTCTTTCCCGCTAATTTCCATGTACATATCCTCCCTTCTTCCTCCTCTACCTCGGCTTCCACGACCTCTACCTCTGCCACGTCCTTCCACGCTGAATCCTCCTCCTAATGTTGATCCACCCATCTCCCCCATCATCCCTCTTGGAGTGTATGGCTCAGGCATTGGACGGATGCGAGGCCTGCCTCTTGGCCTAGGCGGACCCTCTCTCTTGGGTCGCGTGGGCTTTCTACCCCTCTTTTTGGGTCCATCCTGAGGCATAAGAGAATGTGAACCCATAGATGGGTAGCCAGAGGAGTGGTAGAAATCAATGTCACCCATTAAAGGGCTAAGAGACCCACTTCCTCCTCCTTTTCTGCAGCTGGACACCAAATCTGGCAGCAGGTCTGGCAGCCTCCGGCTGTTCAACCGGATGTCAGCCGGTTGGTCGGCTTTATCTTCATCATCTTCAAACTCATACTCTTGAGCATAACTTTTCTTAGGCAGTGTATTGGGATCCCGCCGCTCCTTTAACAGGTGGAAAGAACTGGATTTAAGGAGTTTCTTAGGACGAGATGAACAGAAAATGGGAGACTGGAGGCCCCCAGAACCAGTTGCTGTAGTAGTTCCTCCAGGTCCAGAGGACATTTTAGCTCCCGAGTTGTTGGGACCAGCAGTACTGGAGCCCATACCCATAGCTGGGGCCTGAGACTGTATCAATCCTAGCTGTTCAGTGTTGACAGTGGATGGGAGCTCATGGGTTTTAAGGGAGTCTAGATCCAGAGTCATGGTGTTGTTGCTGGGTTCTTCAAGGCCATGACAGTATGGTTCATAACCCTGATCTCCACCATGGTGACCCATTATGTCATAGCTAGCTCCACCACTTCCCCCTGCTCCACTTGCACTCTGTCCAGCTTTCATGGAATCCATTCCGTCTTGCCCAGTGTGGCTTTCATTCATCTCCTCCTGGCCCGGTCCTGCACCTCCAGCACAGCTGGACTTGTAGTCCTCTGTACAAAACATTTCTTCCATTACTGGAAAAAAGGAGCGGTCCTCATCCTGGAGGAGGGAGTCTGGGAAGCAGATGGAAGTTAGGGGTACAAAGCGGTTGCTTTGTTGATTCTGGTCTGCCTTCTCCACTGGGCTGACTGTGTCAAACTGGTGCTGGTCTGAACGCTGTTGGTCCATCTGGCTCTGCTGAGGGGTGAGCTGCGATGAGAGCGGCTGCTGTGGGTCCGGCTGAGGCTGGGAGTGGGCTGAGGCAGAAGGTGGGGGTATGTGGTGAGGGTGTGGGGGCTGCTGCTGAGGGTGGGGTTGGGTGTGAGGGTGGTGAGAGTGGGTTTGTTGGTGTTGAGAACTAGGATGCTGCTGTTGCTGCGGGTGGTGCTGTGAGAG